GACCTCATCTTCTACCAGAGTAGCTGGGTCAAGGGCGTCGCCATCAAGAGTCCACATCTTAGCAGGGCAACGTGGGACGACGTAGGTAAACCACTTAGTAGGGGTCTCAACCTTATAGGCTCCAAGACACTCTGCTAGTTTCTGTTTGTTTGCAAGGAGGGCTTGCTGGACCTGCTTATTCAGGGGTCTCAGTGAGTAGCCAGTTGCAATATGGTAGATGTGTGGGATATCTGCCAGCTGGAGCCTAAGGGCCTGGCAGACTGTCCGGCGTAGGGCGAAGGGGGCGTGCTTCCTAGCAGCCGCTAGGCCCTCTTCTGGGATACGGGTAAAGACCCGGAGGTCCTCCTTCGGTTGGGATAGAGCCTGGGCCCGGGTCTCCGTCAGACTCTGTGTCTGGACTTCGGGCCGGGAGGGGATTCGGGTACGGGTCGGGGCTACGGCCACGGCTGTAGTTGAAGCCGAGGCTACTACGTCAGTCCATTTCCGGCTCGGAGCCGGAGCCGTAGTCTCGTTACCCATAATCCTCTTCAAGGCTTGGATTACATAGGTTGTAGCTTCTTTTGCAATCTGCTTCCTAGGCCCCTCAAAGCAAGAGATCACGTTGTCCACAGACTGAGCAATAGCCATAAAGACGTCATTTAGGGCTTCATAGTGCTTAGCCTCTTCATTAAGAGCTGTAAGGACAGCTCCAGTAGCTGTCCCAGTCATAGTCGAGGGCCCCTTAGCCGTTAAGGGGGTTGTTGTTGGGGCGTCGGGCTGGCTTCCCACGAGGCTGGGCCGGAGTGGCTGGGCCTCGGTTTCGCGGCGGCGTTTAGCCCTTGAGGATGGGGGCGGCTCTGAAGAGGGTCCAGAGCCTCGATCAAGGCCGGCCGAGGAGGTCGGCAACGGTCCAGAGCCCGCCGGAGGCTGCGAGGCCATCGCGGGAGGGCGCCGGAGGAGAGGTGAAGGGTTTTCAACTGTTAAGGATTTTGGTGGTAGCCCACTTATTACACTAACAGTAGATGCCAAGAAAAATTAGGCGAGAGGGAAGTTGGAAGCTCTCAGAGGCCGACTGCTGTTAGGTTCAAAAGGAAAAATTACTGAAATCTGCCCTCTAGCTAGATATATGCTCCCTGCGTGATATGTATACGAGCTGTTCCTTTGTTGCCTATGTCCCCCTTCCTAGCCCATACTAACCCACATCTGGAGGGTCCTGGCAGTAGTGACCCTAACCCTCGTTTACTGATGCTTTCTGTGAGGGATGCTGCTTTTTCGATATCATGGCCGAGCAAAGGCGCAATGCTTCTCCTGCTTTTCCGCTTTGTATGAACTGTGGCCCCTAAATCCAGGCTTGCATTTGTCTATTTCGAGGTCTCTCAGACTAACCGTCTGGCCTGACAACAATAGTATGCTGACGGTAGAAAACGCGCTTTCGGGGCGGAACGGCGACGGCAGGCTTTCTATAACATTGCTTCCCGCAAACATGCTCGCCTTCTCCAGCCTCAGTCGAAACATGCTAGTTTTGGGCACGCTTCGTGGATATACTGATGACGCAGAAGGGGATGTTGCACCAGCAGGAGAGAGCAAAAGATCTTCATAAACATCGGCAATCGTTCGCCCGTACTGCACAAGGGAATCTGGTAGTGATGATGGTGTCATTTTCCGAGGGTACAAGGTGGAGGCGATAAAGATTTTCTGGGTCTGGCGGTGCCGGGACTATGTATGTTCATGAAGGCTGATCATATCAGCCACATTTGACAGCAATCCCATCGGCTTCGGTTTTTGAGGTAAATGAGCTCGTGTGGTATGTAAGCCAATAGTGCGTCTGCAGCCAATATTAGCGTTAAGCTATGAATGCTATAAGTTATATAATTGGATGATGAATGCGGGACTTCGTAGCCTCCTTGTGTATGCATTAAACTAAATCACTTATAATACGTCACCATGGAGATCTGGGCGTTTGCAAATCTGTATACTGCTACTACTACAAGCGACTCCACCCAGCCACCGTCAAGCACAGTAACTGAACCACCTCGAGTATGCACTTTTGCCATGGACAGCGTTGCGCCAACCTCGACAGCAGTTCACACAACTTCACTTCCCGACAGGCTGGAATCCACCCTTCAGTTCTGGAACGCCACCGTCGGCCACAATACATCGAGTGTAAGCACCATGGCCAGTCTTGCGACAACGACGCCTGGTGGTGATGTTCAGCCGCCGTGGACCTACCATAGACCGACAGTGTCCACAACCGCGGCGATCCCCGTCAGCGCAGCTGGTGCGCATGGCGCCGACTATGGCCACTTTGCAGCCTTTTTGGTTTTCTTCCTAGCTGCATACGCATGGAACTGCCTTGATTAGACGTACCTGGCGCTTTCTGGTGAATGTCCGATTGTTTCGGTGATTAAAGTCAGATCGCCACCCAGGTCAACTCCGTCAAGCTCAGAAGGATGCGACAGTCAACACCGCAGAAATCGTACCCGAGTGCCATTTTTTCTCTTTGCCGGACCTCGGAAGTTCATGCGTTCTCCTCCTCAAATCGCCCTTCAGATCTGAGGGAACCAGGGCTTAAGAACAAAACCGATGGAATACGAGATCTTTAAGCCCACCGAGTAAGATACACGGATCAAGTAGTAGGATGGTGCGCGACGGGGCACGGCATGGCACACTATTCCGAAATAAACAGCTTATGTATACGTCAGTGAACGAATTGTTAGATTTTCCTCTGGAGTGTCTTAACAAAAGGTGTGATTGACAATCCGAACGCAAGCTCCTTTTCCCTCCCGGCTGACTAATGTTGAAAGTGTACAATAGCTATTTTTGTGACTCTGCTCCCTCCTGCGAGTGTCCTAAAATAGATTGGCGTACTTCTACATGGTCTAATACTTCCGTCTATGGTATCCCATAAATTCTTGTGCATCCAAAGTTGGGCCTGCGTTATGACGCGCGGTGTCAGGGCGCGTTTATTGTAAGGTTTCCAAATAACAGACCTTTTCACTTCCTATCTCGGCTTTGGACGAGGTGGTGGCTTCGGAGCGCCCGTGGTCTCGTATGCTCCACGGCCTTCATCGACATTCGTCTCGGTATTATCGGCGACAGCCATATCTATGTAAGTTTGATGCTTCGTCTTGCTGTGTATGTGATGGCGATTGTTCACTGGGGTCCTGTCGACCGTCTCGTGGTCTTTATATGTGTTCGCGTTGATCCTTTACCCCTATTTGGTGCCAACATTGAAATACAACCCCCTTGCAAACTTGGTAGACCCGTTATGGCAAGATTACATTACGCTGATATCAGTCAACTCATGCATACTCCTAGTCAATCTATTGTTAAACGGCCATTACCCCTGAGGATCCTCGTTCAGCTGGCCTATTCGAAGGACCGAGACTTTCTGAGATGGGCCACATTTCTCTGCTACTTTGGTTCGCAAACGTGACGAACCCGTTTATGACGGCACAGTCATCCTGAAATCGGGCGTGAATGGAAGACACAGAGCAGAACCACCAGCCTGCAGAGCTGATGCTCAGTAGTGTGAAAACAGGGCAGCAGGTTTTCTGTGCCAAACTTATTCGGTGTACATAGTATGTAACAATGAGCCATGCAACGAGATGCCTCTGAGTGGTACCAGCCAAAGCCGAGCGACTTCGTAGCCTGCTTCATGTCTCTTGCCTCAGGTATCGTGGATTTGATTGTCTTCTTACGTCGTTCTTCGATGCCTAGCAGAAGAACGGAAGCCATCAATTCCGCTGACGATGAATTGGTGTCAAATTCCATTCATTCATGTAATCAACGCGTTGGGTTCGGCTCTTGCGGACTCGGAGGCAACATGCCCCAGCGTCGGATACGCCGAGGTTTCCTCCACCCTTTGGCCTGCTGATACGTAGCTCGATCACACATCCTAAGGATCTCGTAGGCCGTCTTTTTCGCCTCGAAGTCACAGCCTTCTTCATCAGATTTGGCAAAACTGAGCCCGGCATTCCACAACGGTAACGGCTGTGCTTCGCGTCAATGTGTCTCACTAATAGTGAGATAACATGATCTTTTGATATTGCAATATTGTAGCTATTGGGACTCGGGGTTTTCTTATAAGATGGATTCGATTGCGATCTAGTCCTCAGTCATTTGTGTAGATTCACTTGAAACCCGAACTATGTATACACCTCCTGTACACTTCGCAAAGACATGAAAACATCGCTTCTGCACTCGCGGATGGAACAATTCTCTGGTTGAAGCTGTCAGCATTCTCGTTTTGCTGCAGACTTGGCAGCTTCTGGCTGTTCTTGGTGACATGGCTAGCAAATCTCGGCGAACCGTAAATGCATTACATACGCGCTTCGAGCTGACCACGCTTCCTCTCCGAAGCAAGCAGTGGCTTTCGAGTTGTTTTGGTCATAGAGCCAATCATACCAAGAGCTGTTGGCTGATTTTGGTCCCGCATTTTCAACCACTTGGCAGGGTGTTTTCTCCTTCCTTTCTTGGCGCCTCGCTTTTTGCAAGGTTCAGCAGTGGCTGAGGCGGGTTGGTTTCTAGAAGTGTAATACCGGGAAGCTACAGTAGTCAGCGAAAAGGGCTTCATCCTTTTTACAACTCTCTGATCTCTTTCCGCACGGACATACAAAGTTCTTGGCGCTTACACAGTACGATTTGTTATCATATCATTTGAAGTACATCCAACAGTCCAAATAGGCTGACCCCACTTGCAGTTCTGTTTGGCTTCTATTCGCAGAAAATCCACTTGTGCAGAGGCCCCGCTGTAATGCACGTATTGCACCGGATTATAATTCATAGATGCTGGTCTGGGGGAAGGGCGTGTATTGGCTCAGTAATGATTATTATGGCTCTATTGTAAGTAGTATGTAAGATAGTCTTAAGCGTGTCTAACGCCTCTTCAGATGTCCCTTCAATGTCTTCCATTTGGCTTTCAGCCCTCGTCCTGGCTTCTGTACGCGAAGCGAAACATCCATCTCTTGTATAACAAGCTGCAATGAGCCTATTTTCTCAGACAAATATGTACACCGTTCGTTCTGTGACCCTAGTACGGATAAGAAGCCGTTCTGTGCTTTTGAGTAGTATGAGATAGCTTTGCTATTCTCGCCAAGCATCTCAAACAAAGAGCCGAGATTTTGAAGTGCGCTCAAGGCAGGAATATAGGTCTTTATGGCGTCTGCTCCAAGTGCCTTCTCGTAGCCTTGAAGAGCCCGCTCGTACATCGCCTCGGCCTCTTTGAGTCGGCCCTGGTCCGAGTAGAGGAGGCCTAGATTGTTGACCGTCGAGAGTGTTGACGTGTGGTCTGGTCCCCATGCCTTCTCCTTGCCTTGAAGAGCCCGCTCGTACATCGCCTCGGCCTCTTTGAGTCGGCCCTGGTCCGAGTAGAGGAGGCCTAGATTGTTGACCGTCGAGAGTGTTGACGTGTGGTCTGGTCCCCATGCCTTCTCCTTGCCTTGAAGAGCCCGCTCGTACATCGCCTCGGCCTCTTTGAGTCGGCCCTGGTTCTTGTAGAGGTTGCCTAGACATTCGACTGAGTCGAGTGTTGACGTGTGGTCTGGTCCCCATGCCTTCTCCTTGCCTTGAAGAGCCCGCTCGTACATCGCCTCGGCCTCTTTGAGTCGGCCCTGGTTCTTGTAGAGGTTGCCTAGATTGTGGACCGTCGAGAGTGTTGACGTGTGGTCTGGCCCTAGTGCCTTCTCCTTGCCTTGAAGAGCCCGCTCGTACATCGCCTCGGCCTCTTTGAGTCGGCCCTGGTTCTTGTAGAGGTTGCCTAGATTGTGGACCGTCGAGAGTGTTGACGTGTGGTCTGG